ACGCCTGCACTCTTCTATAGCGGAACAGGAAAAAATTGACCCACAGCAGCTGAGCAGAATACTTGGAGTACAAGGTACAGAGAACCACGTATGTCAGAGCTAGTACACTACAGCTTTAAAACAAATTGAACTGCTTCACTTTGTGAATTTAAGTATTTTCCCTCTTTCTTCCTTTTAGTAACTATCTCGTCTGAAACACTTACAGCTCATTTATTTTAAGAATGTATTGACTCCTCCTTAACAAAGCCATTTGAATGTTTAAACTGGGAAATAGTGCTGTCAAATGAGCAACCACATTTTTCTGTTTAGGTATCTTGTAACAGTCAAAAACGGAATGCATGGCAGGATAGGTGTTCCATAACCTAGAAACTGGTGTGGTGCTGGCGTTACCTTATGTAACTTTTGTTATAGAAAGTACAGCAAAAAGTGAACAAAACTAGAGTTTTGTTTGCATTAACCATCATTTGATATCATCAACTGTAACGTTCACCTCGGAAGCCCTATCTCAACCGTTTTTCAAATGCTGTAGTTCTGGCCGTTGAATTAAAGGCACTCATGACTAGAGCATGTCTGTCCATGTTTCATTCTCACCTGCTTCTACAAACACGCATAAACACAATCCTTCAGGAGGAGAGCTGAAAACATCCAAGTCTGCATCTGCAGTAGAGCTCAAATCTCTAATAAGTTTATGAGCAAAGTGAAGAAAGGGACAGTAGTCAGTAATAATACAAATCAAGTATTGCTTACTGGTACATGTTTGCAGAATACTTTCTTTTTTCCTTAGGAGTACAATAAAATACGCATCTAGGGCAATATATAAGGACACCCTTATCAAAGTTACATTAATGCCCATGCCCCGTTTTGTCCTTATATTATGAACATGGTCTCAAGAGCTCAGTTTTATCAACATATACACTATACAAATGTATGATTTAGCTGAGCAGAGAGATATACGCTGTGAAGAGGTCTGCACAATCAGGTTTTCAACAGTTTAGCTGCTGTAGCTGACAGTTCACAATTGCAGCCATTCATTAGCGTTCCTGGAATACAGCCTGCACAGTTCAAGCTGGTCAGCTATCTGTGGAAAATGATCTATACTCTGCTCCTTTTCCAACATGCCTAGTAATATTTTGCCCCAAAAGTCTGCCAAACATGTAGGAGGTTTGAACAAGCTTTCTCAGTCACATTCTTTTAACAGAGGCAACATATTTCTTTTCCCCCAAGAGCCAAAATAAAGTTATTAAGCCAGCTGGAATATTATGCTTGTCAACTACAAATTTGTGTACACATGGGCATAAAGGTGAGTGGAGAAACTGACACAGACTGATCCCGAAATCCCCTCAGCTGCTCTGCCTGCCCTTCATCCAAAATAATTAGTACTGCTGCTAAAGTCCAGCAAAATGAAGAGTTGGGGCAACTTTGAGATCTAGTTCTACTTGCGTTTTTATGGTATTTGTGAGGCTCCAAATTCAAAGTGGATTGCAATATTCACATCTGCCTCAATAAAAGTATTATTTCCTCTGGCCTTCAATACTGTTGCAGTTTACTCTCCTTGTAGCCACATTTAGAAAGGAAAATAAAATTATGTTATGCTGTAGATCTTCCATAACTTCCACAGAACATATTTCTCTTTTTAAGAGTTTAGCAATTTAGACACATCAACTGAAAAAAAGCTTTGCTTTTTAAAGGAAGATGGTGACATGCCAAAGGCTTTTTTTTTTTTTTTTTTAATTCTTTTGGACCACCTACCCACTCTCTCTTCCCCTCCCCCCCTGATAAGATTTCTTGATTAATTTATTCTTCATTATTCATCAGATCAATGCAAGAAACCACAGTTTTGCCTAGACTACTGTAAAAGTGTAGTGGAGTATCAGAACAGGAAACTAAAGGTTTTCAGGCAATGTCTTGCAAAAATGTCAGTTCTACTCTATAGATTGATAATATAGACCTATGTATCTATTAGACTATATAACTTTACACCTCTACCTCTAACTGTCTTAGACATAGTTTGATTTCAAACAGCAGACCAGACAGGAATAAATCAAAGAATCTTTTTGCAGAAAGATGGGAACTGACCAGATTTTTCTATCAGACTTCTCTGTCTCATACTTACTGTATTTCTCACATCCTGTTTTCAAAGAATGCCCATCCTAAACTATTTTACCTTTAAAACCGTTCCTCTTCATATTCAGAATGGTGAATGACTTACTATACAAATCCAGGATATTTAGAACTACACAGTATTCCTTGATGAATCACTGTTTCAGAAAATTACTATAAAGAATGACCTACACAAGTTTCAAGTACGTACAAATATTTCAATATAATTGAAGGTGTCAGAAGAAATGTAGACACCTGCTGACACATAGAGCTCCGCCCCCCCAGTATGTTACACATTAATATTAAGATAAAAGAGAAAAACACTTTCCACAAATTTCTAGCTCTTATAATCACAAAGTAAAGTCTCTAAACAAACCCAAGCATTAACTTCCTGAACCTTCCTGAAACAGTGACTCATGATGTGTGAACTCCCTTTGTGCCCTATTAGTTTTATCAGAGTGTCAACCCTCAACGTATTAATGACACGTGAAGGTCTTCATTAACTATTTCACCACTGATTTCAGTAGATAAAGCAGCTGGGCATAAGCCCATGGGAGTAGTGGTGTAATTTTAATGGCTGGAAAGAGGAAAAAAGCAGGAGCAAGAAGCGAACAGCAGACAAGCAGGAGACTGTTTTATAATAAAGCCTTCTCAGTGAGTAAAGCAAATAAAACCAGAGTAGTAAAACAGCCTTGACAAGCTGCTATGTATTTATTTTCTCCTTTCTCTGTCTGAAACCAGTGGCAGTCAGGATACTGTTTGAGGGGAGCAAAGAATAAACTTGGATCTACTCGCTCTGTATCTCCTACTTTGTATGAAGACTAGGCCTGTTTAAAGTAAGCTTTTCTTGCTTATAACTACAAAATAAAGCTATTCCAAGCTGGGAGAGACTCTCACATACCATATAGCTCCTTCCTTAGTGTACCACTTGAGCAAATGACAGGGTTTTATCACCCAATGCAGAAGCAGACAACTGAGAAGTACGCATTTCTTTTCAGATAACCACAAGTTAGTTTCTCTGCTGAGCATCATGAAGTGGTGTGTTAGAAAAGAGCACTCTGCACTTAAAAGTCCATTCTTATTTCTTACTCATAGTTCTCATAGCCAAGTTTCTGAAAGTTTCTTTAGAAACAATCAGTGATTGAAGCAATGCTGCAAGGTGGCTCAAGTTCAAAGACAAAAGTATGGAAATAACTTTAAAGATCACTGTTCAGGGTAAGAGTACCAAGAACCGTCTCACTACTGTGCAACACAAAGTTAGCAGCCTACAGGTTTGAATAAGTAGGACAAGTTTTTCCTTCTCATTTATATAAAGTGATTCATTTGTCACAGATAATCATGTCTGTTACTACGATTTATATAAAGTATTAGAAGCTATGCAAAACAAATGCAAAATGCATTCCTTTCCTTCTGACTCGTTAATCATCAGAATGATTAAACACAAGACAAATCATCTTCTGATAACATACTGAGCTATGTAAAAACCCCTACCAAGCTCAAAATCTAACCTTATTTGCACAAAGAGTTTGTCAGCTGGCTCAGCAATCCTCTTAAGGTAGGCACAACTGCTAGAAAATTTTAACTGTTTAACCTTTTCTTCTTAAGTCCTCTACCACTTTAATCAGAACTAGCACAACTCTCTACGGCACGACTTTTGCTTGCATAAAGGCATTAGCAGTTACTATCTCAAATGCAGCGCTAGCCAAAGCTCCAGTGAGCACGAGGCCTGCATTACTGTAGATTGAACTCTCCAAACACTAATTTGCCTTTGAGGTACCTTCTCCATCCACTACACCCTAACCCCACGTACACAGCAGCTTTACTAAAAGGCACTCTGAACAACACTGACTGTGTTATTCTGGTATTCAGTAAATCTGGTATTCTCCCAAGGTGAGGGAAGGCTTACAGGATAATTCAGCACATCAGACTTTCTCATAATGGTTTCACTCATATTTTTAAAAATACAAACATGTATAACCCACATGTACTTTATTCCTCCAACTGCAGTAATCCCAACAGTAAACATTAATGATATTAATTCAGCGCTCAAGCACTGCTTTCCCTGAAAGCCTCCTCCCAAAGAAGTAAATTAAGAACAGTTTTAGCCATCACGCTTCAGAGTAGTTTGACAAGTCTATATGAATAAAAGCCACATACATGCTTCCTCTCAGGTTCTCTGATGATTCTGCTCATAGTACACTCCTTTGTTACAACTAGTAGTTCCAAATACTTTCTTATAAAGAAAACTCATTGTAAGTTTGTACTTTCCACTGTGTCTACATCTTTGCTCAAGTAAGTTGTGTCCCTTTTATTCAATGCAAAAGACCATTATCTGTAGAGCTTTCACTATGTTAGGGTATACAAATTCATACCCAGATGCAAGTACCTTCCTTACTAATTGATACTATAAAGTGCAAATTCAACAGCAGGATAAAAATCAAGAATCTTTGTTATAAGCCTTTAAGTTTTCCAAGATGCCTCACCTGATGGCCCTAAGATAGCACTACACTTCTATTTATAACAACACTGCAATATAATGGTGTTGATAAACCCATTTTAACCCAGCTGCAATTCCAGTCTTTTAAGACGCATTCAGGAAAAAGGAGAGAACAGACTTCCTTGCATACTGAGCAATTAGGTGCAGAAAGCAAGTTTTCAGTCTTTGATTTGGAAGAGATCATGTTATTTGTGCATTAAGCAGCTTTCAGGCTACTTTCTGCCCTGTTTTGAGAGAAAAATAATCACACAGCCTGAGAACAAGTATAATTCACTACTTGCCTAAACACTTTGCTATGTTTTGTACTCTTAAAAAAAAGCAGCAGCCCAGGTGAATTTCAGTTTTCAGTACAACTTTCTGATTAAGAAAAGGTATTTTTATGGCATTATAAAATAATTCATACCTGTCTTCATCACCATCAACAGGAATAGATATGCCAAACACAGAGCTGGCAAGACTGTTCATAGGAGTACTTGCAGGTAACTGAAGAGGATTTGCTAGAGTGTCTGGAATGGGAGGCTTCACAAGAGGTTTATTTTCAGCTATAAGAGAAAGTGGTGGCTGAGGTAGGGGTTCCGATTTTCTTCTAGTATCATCAATCTGGCCTACTAAGGATTGAGCTTGAGTCTGAAACTGTCCGAGGTTTGACTGTGGCAGATTTGCAGGTACATTCGGCGTGCCTTGCATTAATGAGTGTCCGACATGCTGTGGCTGGACAACGTTGGTACTTCTGCTGACAGAAGTGTGGCTCGTCAGCTGGGACTGGGCCAGCGTAACAGGGACATTTGGCATAGTAACAGAAGCGGTGGTAGACACACTAGGCACACTTGTACCGGGCACAACTGCAGGCACGTTCTGAACTCCAGAGACCACAGCATGAGGAGCACCAGGCATTCCGGACACTTGACTGCTTCCACCCATTTGATGCTGAGTCACAGATTTCTGTTGCACAACCCCTGTATGTCCAATGCCTTGCTGCACCACACCTCCTGGTTGCGGAACGGCAGTCTGACTAGCTTGTGTCTGGCCACTCTGCATTAATCCTGATCCCTGCCCGACTGCGTCGCCAGGCTGTGCTGACACCCCTATCACTGGCGCTCCCACAGGTGAGGGATTTTGGCCGGTCACCTGCCCCACAGGAAGGCTGGAAGCCACAGTACTTGGAACAGAGCCCGCTCCTTGAGACTGCATAATTGTCACGTGCTGCATGTATTCGGTCTGACCAGAAGGTTGCGTCGGCAGTAGATGCACTGGTGGAATCTGGGACTGAGAATAAGCAAATTGTTGAGGCTGAGTCACTGGTACGTTAGCCTGCTGCACCTGCTGCTGTGCCACAGGAATGCTCGGCTGCCCTATCGTCACATTTGGAGGTGCCATGCCTTTCCCGTTGGGTCCAGCCTGCGCAACACCTTGCGTATTTACCTGCGGCTGCGATTGCTGTGGCACCATCATTTGCTGATTTGCTACCGAAGCCCCAGAAAACATAGGCTGAGCAGTACTTTGAGGCATGGCCCCACCTATGGGTTGTTGTGGCTGCTGTTGTTGCCCAATGACAAAATTAGGTTGCTGTAGAGAGGACTGGTTCATTTTCTCTGTCTGGAGCAGCTGTGACACAGTAGTGAGGGAACTGTCAGCTACAGAATCGGGGCCATGGGCCGATGCTGGCACAGCCGAGACCACGACGGAACCTCCTGTGGCACCGAGGCCACTGTCCCTCTCTTGAGCAGCCTGCTCAAAGGTGCTGCTGTGCCGAATGCAATCTCCAGTCCTGCCCAAGACACCACCACCATCTGAGTCCCGGTCATAATACTCCATACACGTCCATCGTCCTCGCCTGTAGGGCTCCCCTGTACCATGGTCCAGCTTGATCACCCTGAAGCGCGAGCTGCACGCAGCAGCCACCGTCTGAGACATCATCCCAGGAGCAGCAGATGCAGAAGGCCCTGTGGAGGGCAAGGCGGTTTGAGCAGTGCTGCTTTCTGCCACAGCAGTGCCAGGGGCAGCAGCTGGCAGGGGCACAGCAGAGCTCTTGGGCACAGCCCCCCCATTTGGGGCCACAACTGGTGGAGCTACAGCCACCCCACCAGCAGCCACAGCCAGCTGCCCGTCCAAAAGGAGGTTGGGAGAGACACTGCCAGGAGTTTCAGCCTCGCCCACATTGTTGAGAGTCTCTTCGGAGGAGCTCCGCTCGCAGACATCCTCAGGGCCGTAGTCGGTGGCTCGGGAAACATCAAAGATTTCAGAAGACACGTCCTCGGTGCGGGACTCATCCGGGTCGTCCAGGCTCTCGGTGTCCTCGGTGATGCTGCTGGCCACCTGAGCCGTGGTCACGCTGGTGATCTGGAAGCAGCTCTTCTTCTTGGCCGGCATCTTGGACATCTTTCCTCCGCGGGGAGGGGCTCCGCCAACCGGGGCGAGGCGAGTGCTGTGCCGGGGCGGGCTGTCACGGCGTGCCGGCCGGGCCCCCGGCGCTACC